CATAAGGATAACTGTGTCTGTTGGTGGATTAACTCCACAAAAGGTTTAGGATTTTAGCACTGCAAAATCAGAATGATGCCATCACAGTGAAGGCTGTCTTTCACTTATATTTCTTTGGTATAGCTTACCAAGATACCACGATCCAATGAGATAATTAAGGTGCAAACAACACCATATGCTGAAGTCAACAATACAGTTTTTATTTAACTATTAGTGTGGGGTAGAAAGAAAGAAGTAGAAAAGGCAGAGGGGAAAGAGATATATAAGTTAGAAGATATTTGCCACTTGAATCCAGCAGTATCCTGCTGGCCCTTAATCACCCTGAGCTACTTGGTGGTGGGGTTGTTGGTGTCTTTCAAAACTCTTCACTGTTTATATGTTTTAGAAAACAAAAGAATTAATGCTTATTGGCTACACTGTTCTCTTATTCTATTGGTCATGTGAAAACCTCACTTTCAAGGATAGTAAGACCATGTCCTTAGTTTTTATCTTCTTTTGAGTTGGTGGGTTTCTTGGGTTGATGGGTTGTGAGTTGGTGCTCATGATCTTCCCCTCAGGAATTACCTTTTATCCAGATGGAGATGATTTCAGAACAGTTACTGAGTTGGCTTTCCTTGAGGTCCACAAATACTGCATTCTTTGTGGTCAGTATCAGTGATAGATTCTTCTCCCAAGTTCTATTAACCTCCCCCATGAGATAACATTCAGGCAATAGCACCACCTTTATCTTATCTCAAGCTCCTGATGTGGTGGCTTAATTTACTGTCAAAATTCCAGGTATCCATAGAGGTCTTTTCAGAGGAGATTCAGTGATTATGGATGCTATCCATGCCATAGCCTGGAGTGAGCTTTGTTTGACTGGTGATAAACATATGAGCACTTGCTTCTTTGCAGAGTTTATCGCTGTGTGAATTTTTTTCTGGCTGCATTGTCCGGATGTACTACTCCAATCTCAGCTCCACCAGGCCTGGAGTTAGTGCCATCCTGTCACTCTATTCTGTGCTTATCTCATCTCATGGCAAAGTCCTTCTCCTTAAAAGTGGCCTTAACTGTGTTTGAGACATACAACTGTGCTCTTTAAGGCATTGCACAAGATCCAAGCAAATGAAATGTTTGATTTCATGCATTTTTGGGCTTCAGAGGGTTTTGTGACAAAACACGTGAAATTAGTACTCTGTTTCTAAACCATTGGATTAGAAAGGGGACTGTTGAATGCCTTTGCCTTATCAAGTTTAAGAGTCCAGTTTGGCAGTCTTATAGTGAACTGGCTATAAATATACAACTATATCTTCATGAAAGGTATTTTCTGCCTCTAAAGATTCTTGTACCAGGTTTCTGTAATTGTTGCTTTTATCCATGAATGTCAGTGAGATTATAGAAAAGGTTACACTTACAGCTCAATGAAAGAAAAGATAGGCACTTGGTTTGAAGTCATGATATCTAAGTGGACAACTATGCCGTCTGCTCCTAGGGTGTTTCTTTTTTATATATATCCTACAGTGTTCAGCAGGTTCATAATGAGTGTCAATATATGGGAAATAATATATATGATAGCTATACTACTGAAGTGGTACAAATTTTCTCAGATGTCACTTCTGAAATTTCTATGCAAAAGTGCATTTGTAATGTGTGGATAGACATTTCTAGGTTAATCCTTTTCATGTCTTATGTATTGACTTTGATGGGTTGCAGATTCTGTTATTTACATGTCACTGAAAAATATGGTATTTTAACACAACGTTGCACCTTTTAATGTGTTGATGCTAAGTAGTAAGCAATTAATGATAAATAAGTATGCAGCCTTTATGTGCAAATCCCTTTCACAGCAAAAAAGCAGAAGAAAAATAAAACCACACCCATTAATCAAATAATAGTTCGTTCTGGGACATGCTGACCTCTTCTTTCAACTGGAGGTTTAACTGCCAGAGAGAAAAAGAAGAAGTGGACATTTACAATGATATCTGGAATAATTCTATGAACAAAATTATGAAGATAAATGGTGCAGTTTGTCAAAGAAAAGGGACAAGAATGATTAAAATAAGTAACGCAATAAGTCTGTCCAGATATCTAGACAGTTAAATATGGCTATTTTAAAAAAAATAGAACTTGCATAAAGCCTATAAAGTGATTGATTCAAAGTTGCATCATAAAGGAAAATAGTAAAAATCAATGTCAAGCAAAAATAAATGATAACTTAAAAATTATATGGGAGCCATTCTTGTTTGAAGATGAAATGTTGCAAAAGGTGCAAAAATCCATCAGTCCTTTAAGAAGAAATATAATACAGAGTGTTTTCTTTGGAAAATATAATGCACAGCTACCATAATTTCCAATGCATCATCTATCAAAGACATTTGTTAGTAACATATCATGAAGATATTCAATTAAATACTCCATTAGGTTTCAACATTCTCTAGCAAATGGACAGCTTTGTTAAATATTACACTAGAAGTACAAGTACTGAGGGCTTGCAGCTTACAGGATATAACCTGGCTCGAAATGTTCTGTGGCATGCTGAACCAAAATATGTATTGATAGAGTAGATGGCCTTATGTTTTGTTTGTACATTTTTATGGGAATACAAACTGCTGAAAATGTATATTTTAATCTAACCAAGTATTAAAGTATTAAACTAATCTATATACCATGCTATTTGAAAAATGTAAGAAACAGCTCTATTTCTTAAAAAAGTAATACTGCTATATAAACATAGCTTGTAATATTTAATTCAATAGAGCACTTTCAGGAAAAATAGCTGAAGAGATATAAATTTACCATCTACTCTTAATGTTACCAATTTGTTTCAGTGTGGCAGGTGACTACATGTAAAAGTAAAGTGTTTAGGAACTTGAGTGAACAGTAAAGAAAGTATATTTTAACATGTATCTGCTACTATGTATTTAGAGGTTGTGGCTTTTCTTCTTTGGGTATGGTTTGAGTATATTTGGGTGGCATTTAAGCTTGTGGGATATTATTTAAATTCTGTACTTGCAAAGTTTTTGGGAGGGGAGTTTGTTGAAATACATGTATCAGCAATTTTAGTAAGTTATTCTGAGTTTAGACAAACTTTAAATATTTGCTTGGGATTTGAAATTGTGATAACAATTTGAAACCACAAAATTCTTGCAGTATAAGGATGGTGCCATTATTTTCCATACTATCCTGTCGCTACATTCTAGAAGAGTTGCTGTCCTTTAGTTTTTCTGGAAAATAGATTCAGTATCTGGGAAATTTATAGAATATGATGGAGTGTTCATCGCTTTTAGTCAGTCTCCAAAATGACAAAATGGTTGGAAAGTAAAAAGTGTCACAACAAAATGTGTTTGCCTACTTTGAATTCTGTGGTGAGACATATCCATGGTGATGATTCACCAGGACTGTTTTAAGACAGTGTCAGGGAGATTTTGAAATTTTACCTTTGGCTACAGGAACTCTGAATCTCTATTATGTTTTTGAAAGATAAGCTTCATTGTGTAGTAATTTGCAACAGGATATCTTCAGTAAACCACTCAGAAAATATTTCTCAAGATTATGAGATTCTGCAGCTTATGAGGTTATAACTAGAAAAAACAAAACAGTAAGCAAATAAAACCAAAAAACCCCAAACCAAACAAGAAACCTACATCCCTCAAAAATACCCCAACAACAAAAAAACACCCAACACTACAAAAAAAACCCCCCCCAACCCCAAAACCCCCAAAAACCAACCAGGCAACCAAAAAACCCCCCCCAAAACCCAACCCCAAATTAAAAAAAAACAGGACAAAACAAACAAAAACATCCAACTAAAAACCACCATCAAAATGTCCCTAAAGAAACTAGCTCTGTCACAGCACCATACTGTGAATATGAGGACTTTAAATAACACGGGTCATATTAAGATGAAAGTCTGGCAGTATTGCAATAAAAAGGAGCTAAGATAGATAATGCAAAAAACCCTCCAGATCTTAATTATTAATAATTAAAAAAGAATTGTCAAGTTTTCATAATGTATTTTATTAGTTTATAATTTTTTCATATTTTATCTTTTGCATGTGTTCTGCTCAACTTGGAAGTGGTAAATGTGTTTGATTTGAGATTTTTATTCCTATATTGTAAGGTACATTCAGGTAAAGGCCAAGGAAATTTTTTTGCTACTTTTTTTCTGTATTGTGATCTGTAGAGTTGGATTGTGATGGTGAGTGATGATTAGAACCTCAGAAATAAAATTTCTATTCTAGAATACTTTTTTTGCTAACATTTATACTCTTTTGACATTCACTTTAGCTAGCTGCATGGTTTTATGAACACTGGTAGAGTGCATAATTGATTCACTACACAGAGAACTCTATTCAACACATTAATTTCTTTAACAGGTATATTTTACATTTGTACTTAATCTTCATTGCATTCAGTATTTATTACATAAAAATAGAACTCCTTTGAAAATTATTTTAATAAAAATATCTAGTGTATTTTATTATATATTTAGTTTATAGTATGGAAGATGTGCTTTTAAAGATCTTTGAAAAATATTGGACCTAATTATCTGTTGGCTTAAATGGATAGCTTCATTTTCTAATCATGTGCTAGTAATGCACTCTCAGTGCACAGTAGAGTTGCAGTGAAGGGAATCTTTGTGATTTTGTTAAGGGTTATCAAATCTCTGATTTTGAGAATGGTAACTTATTAGTTATAAAAATTGTCTTTTGTTACCTCAGAACCATCTTATTTTCTGGTTCCAGACTTGTCATCTAAACCTGTAGGGTTTTAAAGAATAAAAATTTAATCCAATCCCCTGATGCTGTTAGAAAGGTGATGAACAATTTGGGGTGTAGGGATTTCTGAATTACTTTTTTTATAAAATGATGACTAGGAGACAAGGCTGGAAAATGGTTGAGTAAAATAAAAAAGAATTCTTATCTTTCTAAGTGCTTTAAGAGGAATAAAAATGGTTGATGAATGAAATGTCTTCTTGTATTTCCAAAAAGTAACTAAAATAAAGCACCATTTCTTTCTAGCTAAGTAACCTGAAACAACTCACATTTGTGGATGTGTCAGCAAACAAGTTCCATTCTATTCCAATTTGTGTACTCCGGATGTCTAATTTGCAGTGGTTGGATATTAGCAGCAACAGCCTGAAAGATCTCCCAGAAGACATAGACAGGTAGTTTATGTTTTAATTCGATGACAGATATAGGAACTCTTAAGTGAATTTAGAAAGTAAAAAGTTTCCAAGGGACACAGTTGATGGAAAGTCACATTTGGAAATGTATCAGGTATTTTTGTATGTAAATATTTCTGTTATTGATGGACTGGGTCTGAGAACAAAAGCTAATTTTAGTAGATCATTGATGGTGGTCAGTTAACAAAATATTTTTTGCTGCTTTCATAATTTGTAATTGTATCTCGACCTTGTTTTGGGAAGCTTACTAGATATACTCTGCTCCAGTTCTAGCACAGAGAACTCACCATATGGAATTGTCAGCAGTTACTCTCTGGAGGGTAGATAGGGAGGAGAAGGTGAACTAAAGTATATTTAAGTTACTCAGAGTCTGATAAACTTTATTAGTAAAGAAGAAAAATATTGGTAAAATTCAAAAACCCCATTGACAATCCTCCCCTTCTACTCTGAAGTAAATATGAATGTGTGCACACATAATCATTTTCCCAGTTTAGATAACAACTTTGAACTAATTTTTAAAAAAATCATTCTGATCCCTCTAATGGGACTTGCTAGCCCATTTTTGCTAGAGAGAGCACTTTTCTTATTCCTTAGCTTAACTTCACTCTAGAGTGCTGTGGCAACTTGGCTTATGAAACTCTACCTGGCCTTAAGTGAAATAAAACCAAACATATTAATTAAAGTTAATTAAGAAAATATTCAAAATTATTTATTTACCTGGGAATAGAAATCCCTGAGGCAGAATAAACTTCACAAAAAACTAATTTACTCCTAACTTTTGCAAGGCCTTTTTTGCTGGGCAAAAAGATTTTTCTGGGACATGGTGTAATCACAGATTGTTTTGACAGCAGCACTGGTCTTAACTTGTGTTAGCAATTCACAACAAACAACATAAGCTTGTCATTTTTCCCCAGGGGATCTGACCAGAGATTTAACTAACTTCAAAGAATTCCTAAGAGGATGTTTTTCTTTTAGGGAAGGATACCCTCTCAACTTACATAACTTTTTTCGCCTCTAACCTATATTCCCTTAGCTTCAAATTATTCCCTTTCTACATTTTGTCTTCTTCATTTTGTACTGAGTTGCCAGATTTGATGCTAGAATATCATAATCAACAACAAAAAATAAGGTGTTTGTTTATCTTTGTTCTCATGTGCATTCAGAAGACTAAAAAATGCCACATCAGTAAACTAATACTCTCATTCAGACTCATTATTTCAATGCCTGTGGTGTCAAAGAACCTCTGTGAATTATCATTGTCTGTAATACCATTACAATAGTCTGTTATTAATAAAGATGAGTTGACAGTAAACTGAAGCCTCACAATATTTTTACCTGAATTCAAAAAAACCGCATGGGCCTGATAAGCATAGCCTGCCAACAGTGCTTCAGGACTGGACCCTTCCAGTCAAATAAGACAAATTTGTTTCATCAGTTTGCTATGCTCTTTGTTTTCTACCTAATACAAGGAATAAAGGCAGAGACACAAATTTCTGTTGCATTAGGAAAAGCCAGGGGAAATAAAGCAAAAGTTCCTCCACCAAATGGTGTCATTAAATTGATTTCATTGGGACAACTTGCAAGAACCTTTTGACGAGGAGCTGGTCTTTCTCTTGCTCCCCACAGTATTAATTACTAGTGAAAAACAATAGATGGAGATGTACTGCCTACCACAGACATACCTAATTCATAGAAACCATCATATGGGTAAAAGTGTGACCTGGTGGCCTGTATCTTTCATTAGTTGCAGGATGTTCATGGTGAGGCTTTGTATCATGTTCTGTCCACATTTTCTGCATGAAAACACAGTAAATTTTGTAACCTTTTATCCTTAGCATGCTTCTGATTACTTGTCAGAGGTATGCTATTAATACTATAATGCTGACCCAGTACTGGAGATTTCCATTAAAGTTGATGAAATTTTGTGAAAGTAGTGTTTAAATGACTTTTTTGGACAAAGATGTTGCATGCAATTGCTCCTATTATATACAAGATCAAGTCAGTATTACTATCTATTACATGTTCCTATTTGAAATAAATATTTTATGTCATCTCTATCTTTGACATCTTTACAGGTTAGATGAATTGCAGACACTTCTTCTACAGAAAAACAAGTTGACTTATCTTCCACGAGCTCTTGTCAATATGCCAAAGCTCAGTTTGCTAGTTGTCAGTGGTGATGACCTAGTTGAGATACCCACAGCCATCTGTGAGTCAACCACAGGTTTAAAGTAAGTAAAAGCAAGAGAGAAAGGGAAATATTCTTAAGATGAGGTAAGGTACACCCAGAAGAAATACTTTCACCAACATGTTTCTATAAATTCCGACCCAATTTATATCGGAGTGGTAAAGGAGGCATTCAAAAGATTGGACATTACAGAGGATCTGCAGTTTCATGATTTTCATCTACCAGTTACCCACATTGTGCATCTCTATGTATAAACTGCTGTTCCTGGGTAGGCTGAGACATAGCAGCTCTAACTCTGGAATTGCAAAACCATGCTTCAGAGTGGGACCAGGAGCCTGGAATCTAGCTGCTGATAAGCTCCATGATGACAAAAGCATCTTGCTGGGAGAGGGAGGCATGGCTAGGAAAATACTAGGTAAGGTCACATGGGTTTAGTAGTTTGCTGTAAAATACCACCTTACTGCTGCATGCAGGATAAGACTAAAAGACCTAAACTATAGTCTGCAGTTACAGAGATATTGCATTTCTGCAGGCAGTGTTCATGTTTTTGATTATGGAAACATTTCAGACTCTATACTGGGTTTAGTTCAGAGTGGAGTTAGCTGTGGATGGAATTACTTTTCTTCTCTTAGGTCCATTCCTTGCACTGATAGCTAGAAAGATGTTAATAACACATCAGCGTTTTTTGCAGTTGCTGAACAGTGGTGGCACAACACAAAGGGTGTCTCTCCAAATGTTCCCTAAGAAAGCATCGTAGGCTGAGGGTGGGTTGGAGACTGGGAGGTGAAACAGTTGGGGACACCAGCCGGAACAGCTGGCTCCAATTGGCCAAAGGGATGTTTCATACCATATGGTGTCATATCCAGCATATAAAGCTAAAAGAAAGGAGAGGGGTGGTGGATCATGTGTTATCGAAGTTTTTGTCTTCCAAAGAAACTAGCTATGTATATTGAGTCTCTGCTTCCCAGGAAGTGGCTAGACATTACCTGTTGAAAAGAGAGAGTGATTTAGAGAGAAATTTTTTTGCTTTGCTTTGCTTTTCTTCCATGCATATATTTTACTTTTCTCATTAAGCTTGTGTACAATTTTTTCATTTGCTATTCTCCCCTGCTTAGTTGAAGAGAGGGGCAGACAGAGGTGTTTGTTGGGTACCTGGGCAAGCAAGTCAGCTGATCACAAACTTACAGCAATTCATCAGAATTTTAGAAATCCATATGATTTATTGGGACATTTGTTCTTTTGAAAGTAATACCATTTAATTTTTTTTCCTTCTTGGAGCTAAAATAAGAGATTTTCAGAGTGCTATGTGCTAGTTTGCATATTATATAAGTTGTTTATGTAACCACTTAGTTTTTCACCTACAAAATGTACCTTTACAGTATTTTCAATTACAAAGTAATGCATGTCCTCTCATGTATTGTAAAAGACAAGTAATGCAATAACCAAAAAATGGAGGCACATATTGCAGCTAAATGGATCTGGCAAAATTCCAGATTTCTAGGCAATATTGTTAGGATGAAGTTCATGTTGATCATTAAGAGTGCAGTCAGTCAGAAGCTCTGTAATAAAGAACTATACCTGCTGTTATTACAAAGAATGATTTATGTAGATAGATGGAAAGAAGATAAACCTGATCATTTTTATATGGAAGGTGGATTATAGAGCAAGTTCCTTTTGAAATCTGTATTTCTATAATAGGTGTATCCTAACTATGTCATAGTGCAAAATTGAGCTAATATTCTTTATATTTCTGCTTCTGACTCTGGTAGTAATTTCTAAACTGTCATTCATGATGGCCAGTGATGTTCAGCTGCCTGAACATATGTTTTCGTGTTAATCTCTGTTTAGATTTGTAAGTCTCAAGGACAGTCCGGTTGAAACAATTGTATGTGAAGACACTGAAGAAATTATAGAAAATGAACGTGAACGTGAGCAAGTTGAGAAAGAGTTTATGAAAGCATACATTGAAGATCTAAGGGAAAGGGGTATGTGTAAATTTGCAGTAAGCATTTTGCTATCTTGAATATAAAGCAGATATATATTGCGACCATTCATTTTTAAGAGGACAAGCAATAGATCCTTAAACTCTAGTTGTCTTTTACGGTATTAAATAAGCCTAATAGTGAAACGCCAAATCTTATTTGTTAAACAAATCTTATTTGTTAAAAGTTTGGACCTGAATTAATACTCTTGATACTGAACAAATGTATACAAAATTAATTGTGTTGGTATATGCCTTAACCTCAATTGATTGATGGTGTACACAAAGAATATTCTCATTCTCTAGATTTACTTCTCTTGGGATTAGTATTAGTGATTTTGAATTCCTGAAGAAGAGCTTCTCCTCCTCAAAAAGGACAGTATATATATATGAAAGCCTCATTGTATTGGTAGAATATTCTTTGACAATATTATCTGCTTCAAGGTACTATTTAACCACTATACAATATAGTAAAACACCTGCTTTTATCTTTATTACATAGCATCTGAAACTTTACATATTTCTTCATGCTGGTATTCTGTTTTATATTTGCCATCACTGAGAAATGCTCACTTTCTTGAGTGCTCTTTAATAAGATTTGTTAGGAAAAATGGGGAAAGTTTCATGTGCGACAGAATATCCCATAGGCTCATTTTAGTTCCTTTAATACTTTTTGTGTAGAAAGGACTTTTTGTGGAATGAATCTTACAGTAGATTTTAATTCCTTGCATTTAATTTAAGAGGTCTATATAGTGGTCCTACAAAACCTGTTAAAAGAGAAATATAAAGAAAGGGTGTAACTTCATAATACTTTCATGTTCTCGTACTGGAATTCTGTTCCTTAGCATCTATAAGTTGTGCATATAAATTTTGTTTCTGTCTATTTCTAAATTGAAGTCTGCTATAAAAGTACTGGATTCTGATAATGGTAACAACAGTGGTTAAAATTGAGAGAAGGTGGCAATGGAGGAAAAAACTAAGGTCATAATTTGTCTTCAGAGATAAACATAAAATATGTAGTGATGGATTTGTATCTACAGTCTTAGGAAACATGGAGATCTGACAGGCTGCCTGAAACCTGCATTTGACCCTATTGAGAATAGGTCAAGTTTACGCTCTTCTGGGGCAAAGCAGCTCAGGACTTACTTCCCTGCTTTTTATGAAGAGTTGGATCATGAATCACTTCTGTATTTTCTGCTTCTGAACTTTTGTGCTATAGATAATGCCAATACCTACCTTTGAAAAACAGACTGTAGAAGGAATATCTTCTATAAAATATGAACTGGCAGAAGATCTAAAAGACAGAGATAATTTGTAGAGTACCTTTGAAACAAGACCAAACCGAGGTGTTTCTAGCTAAGGGCTTCATTTATTTGTGCTGGATTACATAGCTAAAGTCTGAGATTTATTTCTTTTTTCTCTTTTTGCAGAGTCTACTCCTTCCTACACTACAAAAGTAATGCTCAGTCTCCAGCTCTGAAGATTAAAAATCTCTAGATCTCTACTGAATATCTGAATAACTCTCTTTTAATCCACCTGGATAGTAAACACATAAAAATATTGATGGCCAGGATGACACCAAAATCATATTGAATTATTTATTTGTTTCTGTAGTCTTTTCAAGTAACTACAGAAAAAAAGAAGCGGTAGAACTTTCATAAGATGCTGTTTCACATATTAAATCAATGTGTTTATTTTCAAGTTCACAGCAACAGCCACTTTGCATGTAGACCTGCTGAAAGTAAACATCCACTGTAATTAAGTATACACAGGCATAGCTGAAGAATGAAGACATTGTTTGTTGTAGCTGAAACAGTAAAATGCAAAACGTGATCTTAGGAAGAGATTTCATTTTATAAAAGGGGATAAACTGATTTAGAAACTGAATGTGATCTGTTTTCTTAAGACCAAACACACATTTAGGTATTTGCAATATCCAAGTGAGAACACACTCATAGTTTGTATTTACATTCTGTTCTGTGAGAAAATTGTTCTTGGAATTTTCTGTTTAGATAACTTTCAACAACTTTACATATAGAAACTGTAGCACTTCTTTTATTCAAGCATATTTTAAGCTCTAACCTGTTTGCAAATTCAAGTACCAATGTGATTGAAGTTTCTGTGCTAAGCAGTCTTATAGCGGTATACATATAAGTAAGGTTTTAAGGCACTAAGTGGTGTCAGCTAATACTATCAGCAAAATGATGATACAGGTCTTATATTCATGGTTTCAGATCACAGGATTTTGTGGACATTTGTTGGAATTTTCCAAGTAGTGTAAGAATGAGTTTGCTGGTAAAACATAATTTTGCTTGCTATTTATTAACTTGTTTATATACAATTGTTTAAATATATATAGAGTAGAATTTCAGAAACCTAGATTTACATGTACTTTTTGTTTAATAAAGCAATATTTTTAATCTAAAAAACTTGAGACTTTGAGACTCAAATTAGACTCAAGTTATGGAATTTAAATGGTCCTAAACTTATGAGTGCAGTTAGGTGAGATAATATTTACATCTTTGTTTTTTGTTATTGATGAGCTATTTTCAGTTTTGTGCAGTAGAATGTCACTTAAGTAGCCATATTTAAAACACAAAGCAATGAAGGATATGCTCCTCAGGCTTCTGTATAAAAAAAGAACTTTAGATGTTTTCTTTTCAACATTCTAGCATTCACTCTTTTAAAAGAAAAAAATATTTCAAATAGTAGATGTGTTATTTATTCCACTTACAATTTTCTGGAGTTATATTACTATCAAAGTGAAGCTCACTCAAACTGGTTTCTAGGTGTTAATGCTGATTTTAAGCAAGTTCTGATCCAGGGGGAAGTTTAAAAAAATATGAAAAATTGACATTGATCTGAAGCAGAATAATAGAAGAATTTTTGTTATTATTATGAAGAAATTGAAATAGGATAAAATAGTGTCAAGGTGGGCTGAGAGAAATTAGGCTATTTGAATCTATTCTACCAAGCTTTCTTTTATTGAAATTATAAATTTTTTTGATTAAGTATTGATATTGGTATAATCAACTTCTGAGAGACATCTGTTCTGATATTGGTTGAAATTCTATTTCTAGAATTCTGTCATAGTCTAATGTGATCCACTGAAAATTATAGGAAAGGAAATCACGAAGGCTGTAATTATAAAATGGAGTATAAAAATAAATAAAAAACTAGGGATGCAAACGCAGTTAACAAAACAAAAGCACCAGTGCAAATTCTACTATTAGCAGTATTGGATACATAAAGTGCATGAATACAGAAGTTGTATTAGTCCTTAGCATTGCTGCTAATCTTACTAAAAATTTTTCTGTATTCACAGATAAAAATGCTACAAATAATTTGGAGACAGAAAGAAAAAATGAGCACAAAAAAAATCCATGCATTTTTAAGTTCATTGAACAGCATTGTTCATAAGTACATTTGCTTGTCAATATTTGTAAATGCAAGATCATTCTGGTCTAGAAGCATGATTTTTTTAATGTAGCAGGCAAACATAAGGCAGAAGACAAAAACTTGAATTCACATATCTGAATTAGAAACAAAAGGTCTGTTTTTCCATAAAAGTAACCATGGGATTACTTATAAAACACAAATTCTCAATCACCAGCACTCTTTAAGTTCAGGTTAATATGTTCCTAAAAAAAATCTGTAACCATAAAGTCATGGGTCCAAATAGTGTTCTCCACCTTGACTTTCAATCCAAATCACAGATTGATTTCAATTGGAAGGGGCATTCAAAGATCATCTATCCCAATCACTTTCTCATAGACAGGGACATCTTTCATTAGATCAGGTTTTTTAAAGCCCCATCCAAGCTGACTGTGAATATTTCCCCTGATGGGGCACCCACAGCACCCAGTGAGTTACCAATCTTGTCAAAAATAATTTCTTCCTTAGATCCAATCTAAAACTAAATCTATCCTATTTTTAGTTTCTTACTGAAACTTATCTTTTGTCCTGTCAATTAAAATCCTGTTAAAAATGCCTTTCTCCAATGTTCTCATAAACCTATTCATATTGAATAGCTGCAATAAGACTTTTCTCCAGGCTGAACAACCTCAACTCTCTCAATCTTTCCTCAATGGAGAGGTATTTCAGCTCTTTCTTCAAAGAATAGGTGTTTCAATGATTTTTGTAGCCCTCCTCTGGATCCACTCTAACAGGGCTATATCTTTCTTGTGCTGAAAATGATGCAGTACTTCAGGTGGAGTCACAGGAAAGCAGAGCAGAGACTCACCTCCCTCAACCTGCTGGCCTTGCTCCTTTTGTTGCAGGATAGGGCTGGTTTTCTGGGCTGCAAGGACACAAAACTAGCTCATGGTGTATTACATCCATTAGTGTCCCCAAGACCTCCACAGGGCTGTGAGCTTTTATTCCTAGCTCTTGTAGAGCATCACTTCCTCAAATGTTATCGACAGATAGTTTTTTTTTTTTTTTTGTCACTGTTTTTAACAGAATTTGTAAAATAGCTTTGTTTTAAGGGGAAGATGGTGTACAACAGTCTCCATTACACCTAAGACATGCAGTGTTAATGCCAGCTGCCAGCTGTTACTGAAATACCTAATTTCAGCATAATTCCATTTGAATCATACTTCTATGTCCTTTACATATTTATTTTAATTAACATATTTATTTTGATTTTAAATATACCTTTATTAGAGTCCTCCACTGTAGTAAATAAATTTGTGCATCAAAAGGTACTTAATTTTGAATTAGATCTAATCACATTGCTTTTTTAGCTGTTTTACTAGCAATTATAATTTAAACTATTATCTTTCATTAGGAAACAACACTACCAAAGAGAATTCTGTTATTGGCATGTTTAATACTTTTTCAGTTTTTGAAAATGAATAATTTTATGAATGACAGTAATTTTGTGTACCATGAAAATTTATGTTATTTACAAGCTTCTGATGTCAGGTACTTAGATACCTTAAGGAAAATAATGTGCTTTTTTTTCCATACGCTTTTTTTATACAGCTGCCAAACACCTAAAACTCAACACTTTGTTCTGCTTTAAAGGTAGCTGCTATTTCAAAGCAGCAAGACTGGGAGGAATTGAAATTTGTCTTCTAGAATACTCATGGGCTCAATGTGCAAAAGTAAATCAGAAAACCATATTTAATTTTGCTCCTTTTCCTTATTCTGTATTATGGCCTTGTTTCTAAGGATAGCCAGGAAGACAAACCTATAATGATACCAAATAACCTCATATTTAGTTAATGAATATCTAGGAATAACATAGTTTTGCATCAGATACTGGCTTAGTTTACCGTTAACACTTTACAATATATTCCCCTTTTCCCCTGTCTTAAGCATTTATGAAACATCAGAACTGATTTACTGTGCTTACTTTCTGCAAAGGAAGCACCAAGCAAAATGAAAAATTGAATGGCTTTTTCTTGATGGGGTAGGCTCTCTAGGTCCTGGTTTGTGGAAGATTTCATAGAATCATAGAATGGCTTGGGTTGGAAAAGACCTTGTAGTCTAGTTTCACCTAGTTTCACCTTGACCTAGTTTCACCTCTCCCTGCCATGGGTAGGGATAATTTGCACTTGGCCTGGTTGCTTAAAGCTCTATCCAACCTGTCAGCAAACAGTTTTGGGGCTGGACATCCACAATTTCTCTGTTCCAGTGACTCATCACACTCTGAATAAAGAATTTCTTCTAATGTTTAATTTAATTCTAATATAAATTTAAAAATGGCTCCCCATTTAGCCTAAAACTATCAGACTGCATGAAAATAGCTTTCCCACTTTTTTTTAAAGTCCTTTTAAGATAGTGCAAGTCTGCCATAACATCTCACTAAGGTCTTTTGCTCTCCAGGCTTCACAAGCGCAGCTGTCTCAGCCTGTCTCCATAGAAGACAACCTTCTTCTTGTGTTTATGGCCCTCCCAACAGGTCTACATCTTTGTTGTACTGAAGATCCCAGAGCTGGATGCAGCACTCTGTGGGGTCTCACAAGGCCAGGGCATAGGGAGAAAATCACCTCCTCCAACCTGTTGGACATGCTGCTTGTGATGCAGCTCAGGACATAGCTGTTTTTTCTAGGGTGTGAATTCTCACTCTCTGTCATGTCCAGGATTTAATTCACAACGATTCCTAAGTCCTCAACAGGATTTCTCTCAACAATGCATCTGTGAGAGAGCAACCCATTTGTGCTTCTCCATCTGTGTTCACATCTGGGATTGCCCTGACCCAGGTGTATCACCTTGCACTTAGCCCTCTTGAATCTCATGAGGTTCTCATGGGCACACTTCTCAAGATTGTCCAGGTCCTCCTGGATGGTATCTCATTCTTCAGGTGTATAAATAATTCTACTCAGCTTTGTTGAATCTGCAAACTTGCTGAGGGAGAACTTGATCTCACTGTGTAATTGAGACAGATTTTGAAGAGCACTGGTCCCAGCACAGAGCCCTGAGGAACATCATTAGTTATCAGCTCCACCTGGACATTGACTTAATTTCCTGGATGTGTCTGTCCAGCAAATCCTGACCTACTAAGCAGTCCACCCTTCAAATCTATGTCCAATTTGAAGATAATTGGTCTTCATTTTGGAGATAAGGACACTGTATGGAACAGTGTCAGAGGTCATACAGAAGCCTAGATAGATGACAATGGTCAGTCTTTGCTTGTCAACCATTGCAGTCACTCCATAATGAAAGGCCACCGGCTTGGTCAGTAAAATTTTCCCTTAGTGTTGTGGTTATAGTAAAAAAGTGATGTAGTTTCTGGGACTGTTTAATTCTTTACCACCCACATTATTGTGGGGCCTTGGTTCAGCTGGGGTCAGAAGCAGAAGGATTATCATCTTTAGCTGGGCTTGAGGGAGGGGGCGTGGAATTTGCAGGGTCAGCCCAGCTCATCCAACCCCTCTCTTCTACTGGCAGCCCTGTGCTGACTTGCCTCAGATCACTTCCTTGTCTTTTATTTGCCTTAAAATATTTTCTAGGAGGATCTGCTTCATGATCTTCCCAGGTACAGAACTGAGATTCCCCAGTCTGAAGTTCTCTGTGTCTTCTTGTCTCCCCCTTTTAAAAATAGCAGTGATGTTTCCTTTTTTCCAAGCATTGGAGATTTCACCTGATCACTATTTCACCTGATCACTATGACTCTTCAAATAGGATGGAGAAGTGCTTGGCAACAACATCACCACTCCGAACCTGAGATGCATGTCATCATGTCCTGTAACTTGTGATTATTCAGCTTCATCAGCTGGTCTCAAGCCTGCTTTTCATTGACAGTGGGAGAGAATTCTCTCCCCCATCCCACCTAGATGTCCAGGGACTTAAGAGACATGGGAAGTCTGGTGGTGGGAGAAGATTGAAGCAAAGAGCTTTCTGAGTATTACATCCTTCTCCATGTCTGTTGATACCAGATTTCCCTTCTCATCTACCAGAGATGGGAGTACACTCTCCTTGGAATTTATTTTCTGACCTACATACATATAGTCTCTTCTGTGCTGGAGATCTCTTCACCTTTTGGGAGAATCCTTTCCTAATTTCTTGCTGATGATTTACAGGTATTTCCTTGCTGTTTCCTGGAAGTGCTGTTGTTTCCTTGTTCCTCTCTGACACCTGGAAATATATCAGTTTCCCTTGCTGATTGTGGTTTAAAGCTCTGCCAAGAAGTCCAGCCAGTTTCCTTCCTAGAACGTGCTCATCTCACCCAGTCAGGTAAGCCCCATTAATGAGCAGATGTTTCTCAAGGGTTCATCCTAGACCATAGAAGCCAAAACCCTGAGCATGGCACCAGCCATGCAGTCAACCATTCCCTTGATCCATTCATCTTTCTGGATACCCAGCTGCCAGCTAGGGGTATAGAGAAGAGCACTACCCATTCATACCCAAGGTTTCTGATCCCTTCAACATCTTCCTGAAGGATGTGACGTCCCTTTTGATACTTTGCAAACTCCTTGTGGCAGTCTAATTTGGCCCTGTGTGGAAGAGCAGGAGTGCATGGTTGTCCTCTGGTTTTACCAGGTGTGGAAGCCTCTTTGTGACTTTGGGAATGTGAGCCCCCAGTAGACAGCAAACCTCTCTAGAGAGGTCCAGATGGCAAATGGGTACTTCAGCAACTCCCAGTGAGAAGTCAGCAGTTACTAACAATGTTCATGCTTTCTTGGTGTCACTTTCTGCACAGATCAGCTCCTGCTTCATAATAGATGGAAGGAGGCTGGAAAATAAAGGTTTTTCTCCTGATTTTGTGACCTCATTTGAACTGGTCCTCATAAATAGAACTTTAGTTCAGCATAACTCTGGTTCTGTACTTCTAGAGTAACTACTATACACTGGCCAATTCAGGAAGAGTCTCTTCATCTCTTTTCAATAGCTGAATCTGGTACTTGGGCTGATTCCTGCTGTGACTCCATTTTCTACTACAGCTTGGTCTCTTCTTCACTTCACAGGTCCATTAACAGCTCTGGTATTGCTGAGTGTAAATAGGCAATTTGCATGGTGTTTTCATTATCTGCTGACTGTCATTAATATGAAAGGATCATTACTGTCTCGTCCTCCTCCCTGGAACTTTCTGTTTTCTTGCCAGCTTCAACATAACTACTCAAGGTTCAGCAAAATTTTAGTAAAGATGCTTTTTATATCTAAAATGCAATTGTGTCTTAAACATATTGCCTTTGTTATATTCAGACTTTCCATTTCTCATTAATGCTTCCAGCCTTTTCCTAAAATCAACAGTGACATTTATAAAGTAATTAAATTAGATGCTCAAATTCTGGTGAATAGATCTATAAAGAAGAATATCA